TTTGGGCGGGGGAGGGGCCAGGAGGCCGGGCGGTGCGCAAAGGGCTCTGGGGGCTCTTGTCTGTCCCACACCCTCCGGCCGCGCTCTGCTTTGGCCACGCCAGGCGTTCCACGTGCCCTAATGCCACGCACCTCCATGCCTTCGCCCCATTTTTCTCCCGCGGACACCCCCTTTCTCCTGGTCTGAGTCTATGGGATTCTAAGCCGCCTTCCCAGGCTGTTGGCGGCCGCGCTCCATGGCGGGAACGTGGGCTTCGGAGAAAAGCTGGCCTCGTCTTGGCTCCGCGGTGACTGGCGGGGGGAGGCTGCCCCTGGCCTCTGATCTGGGCGTTCCCGTGGGGGAGGCCAGGAGGGACGGTCCCTGCCTCAGAGCTGTCCCAGGTTCAGTGCCCACAGTGGGGGGCGCACAGGGCAAGGCGCACAGTGGGTCCTCACAGGCCTCCCTTCCTCTCCGCCTAGAACTGAACTGCAGTAATCAGATGAGGAAACGGACGCGGAGCTCAATCTACAAAGGGAAGATATGAGCCCCTTCCGTGGGCAGGGGGCTGGGTGTGAGCCTGGAGAGTCCACGAGGGGCTGACTGTGCAGGTGGGACCATCAGGCCACCGCACAGGTGAGCAAAGCAGCCCGGTGCTGGGTCATAGCGCCCCCAGAGCCCTGAGGGCAGGGCTGTGCGTCCTGGACACTCAGGGACCAGCCTGTGCTGTCAATGGAGGACGTGCCTACGCGCCTGACCTCGTGAGCAGATGAGCACAGTGAGTCCGCACCCTCCCCAGAAGCTGGTCCAAAGAGTGACTGATACACACGATTAAATGTTTGACTTGGAGACATGACTTGCACGCCGTGTCATAGGCGAGTTATGACCGAGAGAGACGCGCAGGGCATTTGGGATCAGAGAGAACTGGGTTTTATCTCAGATCTGCCTACCAGCTATGCTCTGTGTGATCTGCAGCAGCCACGTCCTGATAATACCTAAGGCTTGGACTAGCAGAGGCCACAAAAGGGTGGCTTTCTCTATTCATCCCTCCATCCATCCACCCATCAATCATCTATTATCTATCTATCTATCTATCTATCTATCATCTATCATCTATCCATCTGTCATCTATCCACCCATCTATCAATCTATCATCCATCCATCATCTACCTCTCATCTATCTCTCATCTATCCATCCATCCACCCATCTATCATATATTATCTATCATCTATCCATCCATCATCTATCCATCTACTATCTATCTATCTATCTATCTATCTATCTATCTATCTATCTATCATCTCAGACCGGGTGTTGGGAGTGTCCCAGTCCCCTCTACTCCCTATCGCCATCCTCTCCACCTGTAGATGAGATGCCAAGTAAACTCACACAGGCCTTCACGCTTGAGTTGGGTTTTAGAGGATGAGTAGGAGTTAACCAGGGAGCGGCCCCCATGGTTCAGAGGTCACGGCTCATTCAGGAAGCCGGGAGATGGGTGCTGACTTGCTGAAGGTGGAGTGGGGTTGGGAGGGCGGTTGGGACAAGGGCGACCGGCGAGGAGGGCAGAGGTGTGGGCAGAGCTGGGCACGGATGCTCGTCCTGGGCACTGAGGCCTCGGTGCCCCTGGTCAAATGACACATGTAATGAGGGCTGCGCTCCCGCCGTGTCCTGGCCACTGAGCAGATGGACAAGGGCGATGCGGCCCTGAGCGTGGACCTCGCGGTCCCACTGGGACGAGACGCAGACCGTTTCCGTGTAACATGGCGGCGGCGGCCGCGAGGCGAGTGCAGGCTCATCTCGCTGTGATGTGCCGCCGCTGAAACACTCCTGTGGGTGAGACACCAGCCTTGTCTGACCCCACGTCTGAGTCCGCTGGCTGCACAGGACATGGCAGACGACACGCCAGGGGCGGTGCGTGTGCCGGGCTGTGTCCTGGCTGTGGGGTCTCTCCTATTGGCTTCAAGGCCACGGAGAGGAACCTCACCCCGCCACCAGCCCTCGAGGGGTCCTAGCGGGCGGGGAGCGGGG